TTGCCGGCCCCACCCCTGAGCCAGGAAACTGCGGGCTCTCGCACCCCGCGCGGGCCCCACCCCATGTCTCCAGACCCCAGCCATCCATCCGCCCTGGGGCTCAGGGACCGGGGCCCCCTCGAAGCCGGCTGCCACCGAGGTTGCAATGCCAGCAGCCACCGAGGAGGCCGGCACCGGGCCGGGGCGTCCCAGCGCTGCACACACACCGCTCGCCCAGCCCGGACACGAGGCGAGGAGGAAGGGGCGGCGCCGTGCCTGGGACTGGCACAGTGGCTCGCTTGACTGGGGCACCCACCCTCACGCGCGTACCCCACCCATCACCGCCGCCAACCTCTGCAGCACAAAAGGTTGCAGAAGGAGTGGCGGTCCCCGGGCAACGTACCAGCAGTCCAGGGTTCCGCCGGCTCCTGGATGCCGGCGGCCGCAGACCCGAAGCCAAGGGCGGGAGAGACGCGGGGCTGCGGCGCCGAGGTGCGGGCAGAGGCCGCCAGCCAAGCCAGCCGGGTACCCGCTGCTCTCCCACCGCGCTCGGCGCCAGCTACGGCCCGGCGTAGTCCCGCCTCCTCCCCCGCCCCCGCCCGCCTTCCCGCCTCCTCCCTCCCTCCGGCTGCGGAGGCGAGGCCGGTAAAGCGCAGAGCCCGCCTCCTGCGCCAGGCTCGCTCGCACGCTCGCTCGGGAAGGGCGGGCGGCGGGAGAAGGCGCTGGGCGGCCGGCAGGAGAGCGCAGAAGGGGAGGCGGTGGCGCGGACGCGAGGCGGCGTGATGCCACCTCTCCCAGACGAAAACCCCGCGCTCCCGCCGCCCAGGAGCCGCCGCTGCTGGCAGGCCTGGGAATGCGGACGGTTCCCATAGAGCGGTGTGCTTAAAGCTGTGTGGGCATGGCTGTCATTTGTGAGTTTCTGCTGAGCAGAAGTTGAGGAGAGCAGAAGCCCGTGAAGTTACAAATTATACTGTAATTCTAAAAAAAAAAAGGAAAAAATAAATAAATATGGGGTCAGGGTGAAGGCCAAATTCAGATTCTGAGTCATGTGTTTCTTTTCTCCTTTCCTTTCTTCCTTCCTCCCTTCCTTCCCTTTTCTTTCTTGACAGGGTCTCTCTCTGTAGCCTAGCTGGGTTCAAGCTCCTGAGAACCTTCCTGCTTTAGTCTCCAGAGCTCTGGGTTTGCAGGAGGGACAAGCCATTCCCAACAAGATGATCTTTTCTCTATTCATGTGCCCCTCTCCTGTCAGGGTGGTTAAATGCAGCACACAAATATTTGCTGATATGTATTTAGCTCTAGGTGCCAAACCTTTTGACACACATTTCCAAGATTACATCTCTTAGCAGTTCTTCTAATCAGCATTTTGAAGATAAAGAAAAGGTAAGGAACTGTCTTAAAGTCACAGACTTAATAGAGGGCCGAGCTGCTTATGCGTTTCCAAATGTAAATTAAGGTTCCAGTCTTGTGTGGCCTTTGAAAGGGTGCTTTATCTGAACAATAAGGAACCATAAATTTCGTCTAGACTAATCCAAACTTAAGCAAGTCATTTTTATCCCAGAGTCTATATATATCCCCAACAATATTAATAAATATAAACACTCTGGGTCCAAGAGATGGCCTCTGGTTTCTCTGTAACTGAAGGATACTTACTGGATTGCCTCTCATGTGCTCTGAGTAAGTGTCAGAAAACAGAAGGAAAAGGTCAGGTCCGTGAATGTTTTCAAAATAATAGTTACTCTCCCCCAAAGTGGTATGCATGTAACTTCTCAGAATACAGATCCTAGTGCATCGTACAGGTATTGAATGCACAAGCGATCAGAGTTTTTAACATTTTTTTCATTTGTTGGGTTTTTTGTTTTCTTCTCCTGAGTATCTTAGGAGGCCGCACTGGAAGTCATTTCAGATTTGAATCTGTCACAGTAGTGTTATTGTTACGATGCTCATTCTTCTAAAACGACCTCAAAACATTATGTTTTATTTTAAGAAGCTTAATCCCATTTTGTCCTGTCTGAACTCATAATCTTTTCGGGAGAACACCTTGTAACTTGGCCTTTGTTCTGAAAATTTAGCAATGTTCTTTGGCCAGGAGCAATAAAACCCAGACTGGCCTCTCAGTTCACTGGGCTCAAGGCTAGCTCCATGAGAGAGCATTATCGCTAACTGGGTCCCTTGCTAGGTGGTTGGTGCCTGGTGTTCCAGTCTCCGGGATTCTGTACCACAACCAAAAGTTAGGTTACTTCTAGAGCGTCACAAAGAACACCTATTCACCAGGCATCTGTGGCTGACAATAGCTTTATATGAGGTCTGCGAGGGTTATGTTGCCTATTCACCAGGCAGGCCTTACTGACAACAGCTTTATGTGCGGTTCCTGAGGCTTATGCCTAAATTAGATTACGTGGGGCCTTTGAGGACTGTGGCTGTGGGCCTATGAAAGACGAAAACAATGTGGAGGCACTTTGCAAAGCTTACTGTGTGTTCCATGAAGAGCGGTTCAGTTCAATGCATGAAGAAAAAAGAGAGAGAAAGAAAAAAAAAAAAAAGGACATTCTTTAAAAGGACTCGTCCCAGTTGTCGAATTGAACTTGTATTCTGAACGGCCTTTCAGAAACTGGGGCTCAGGTACTCCATCCCAGATGCCACCTTTGTGGTTATATCTTGGCCTAAAGATGTTCTTCCTTCCCCCCAAATCCACTTCTCAAATGTCACTTGTCTCGGAAGAATTATCCATTTGATGGATTGCCGCTTAGCAAACAACCATCTTGAAAGAACAGGGTAAGAGGATTTGATAAAAAAAAAAAAAAAAAAAGCACAGCGATCTAAAACTGAAACTACAATGTAGCTATGCAAGGAATACATCACCTTGTTAATAACTATCGCAGCAGGCTGGGGTCAGAAAGTGTAGCCCGTGTCCATGTCCACCAACACAGTGATTGAATGCAGTGAAGGTCTCAGAGGCTAAGCAGCGGTCTCCCAAAGGGAAGGGACTGAGAGACTAGTAACCACAGCCCCTACCTGGAAAATACAAGCAGAGGCTGCTGTGGGGGTCACATGGCATAAGCAGCCTCCATGGGAATAAAAGGTAACTGCCAAGGAGGCATCTATGGCTAGGAGAGATGTGGTGATATTGTGTTCCCCAATATATTGTGCACCCTAACAAACTTATCGGGGGCCAGAGAACAGAACAGCCACTAGACATAGAGGCCAGAAAATGGCGGCACACACACACACCTTTAATCCTAGCATTCCGAAGGCAGAGATCTCTCTGGATCTCTGTGAGTTCAAAGCCACACTGGAAACAGACAGGCATGGTGACACACGCCTTTAATCCCAGGAAGTGATGGCAGGAAGCAGAAAGGGATCTAAGACGTGAGGACAAGGAACTAGAGCCTGGTTAAACTTTTAGGCTTTTAGCAGCAGTTCAGCTGAGATCCATTCAGATGAGGACTCAGAGGCTTCCAGTATGAGGAAACAGGATCAGCTGAGAAGTTGGCGAGGTGAGGTTAGCTGTGGCCTATTCTGTCTCTCTGATCTTTCAGCATTCACCCCAATACCTGGCTCTGGGTTTATTTTCATTAATAAGACCTTTTAGGATTTGTCCTACAGAGATAAGGGAAATGTACCACAGAGCCTCTTCTCCTCCTACCCTGATACCCACAGGTGTCCTTTAGGCTATCAAATCTATCTATCACGCGTTCCCCTTGTTCTTTCCAGAACTGCCACTTACAGCCATGTTTTGCAGTGTGCATGGCCATAGATGGCATGGCCCTGACTTAAACGTATGAACCCTCTTTTCAGGTCTTTCCACTCTTTGTTTGTTGTTTGTTTGTTTGTTTGTTTGTTTGTTTGTTTTTTGAGACAGGGTCTCTCTATTTAGTCCCAGCCGGCCTGGAATGCATTGTGTAGACCAGGCTGCCCTAGAACTCACGGAGATCCTCCTGTCCCTGCCTCTCAAGGGTTGAGATGTGTGCCACCATGCCTGGCTCTCTTCCTCTCTTCACGACTTAAAGCCACAGCAATATTCAGATCTGCAGCCATGCTACAGAGCATCCCGTATCCTCAGTCATCCACGTTTAGGACCTTGTGGCATCCTTAAAGGTGGGCCTCAAGTCGCAGCATCTCAAGATTTCCTACTGTTCCCTTGCCCTTCTGTCTAGACATAGGAAAATCTTTCTCAGGAAAGGCCGTTCTCTTCATTCTCTCTCTCCAGTTGCTTGGCCAGCAAACTGTTCAGTTTCTAGAATACAGGCTTTGGGCGACTAAAGGGAGTAAGAAGAACTACCCTGAGAGCAAGGCCTGTATCTACTGCCACATACAGATAAACCCAAAGTGGGGAAAAAAAATAAACTAATGTCTCAAAATACTGATGCAGTCATTGAAGTAAAGGGTACAGAATGCCACAGCCTATGTGGAGAAGGACGGCAGAAAGAGCTAAGGTGGAATCTGTGTTAATTGCTGGCCAAAGCTGTCAGGTATGAGGCTGGAAATGTGGGGGACAGCTCCCATCTGAGAGTGCATGGCTCGCGCTTGTATGTGCCCTTCTGTTACCCCAGTGTGTGCACTGAGCGTTCTTTACCGCTGCCTCTCAGCCAGACTCATCCGTGGATGTCCGTAGAGTCCAGTGTCACCAGAGCTGCTGCCCTGAATCCTGAATCCTGTGTTCTTTCACTGCCAAACACTCTCCGCGTGGTACTGGGATAGACTGTGGTATTTCTCCATGCTGATGGTCCCTGAGACTCACATTCTAGGAGGTGTGTAGCCAGTGTCCACTTCTTTTTACAGAGAGGGGGCGAAAGGACCCCAATAAGGCCTTCCGGAGGCAGCTTTTATTTAAATTGGACCTTCGTGTTCCTTTTTTCAGAGGCCAGTTCCTAAGTCATCAGTCGTTTGTAATCAGCCATGAAGAAGACATTTCCACGGTGGAGATTGGTCAAGCCTCTAAGCAGGACTTCAGGGCGTCCCACCACTCTCTAGTACGCCTGGTTGCCAAGAGTTGGTTTATAAGGGGGCATCTACTAAGGACCAAAGGGCTCCTCCTGTGTGCAGAAGCAAAAGATAGGTCAGATAATTGAAGCCTGTGATTTGAAAAAAATACAGAATTCCACGGTTTGCATAGGAAAATCTAACTCTTAATTATATCATCAAAAGAGGATAGAAAACAGAGGAGGAAAGGAAGCAAGAATAAATGAAAGTCTTGTAAGCCTAAGACTTACAAGAGAAATCCTTTCCCAGCTTGCTGTGGGACTTCAGGCTGACCACCAACGGCTTCAGAAACCTCTGAGCTGTGCTTATGAGTGTGTTCCTTACATCACAAGTGCTCAGAAACTAATCTTTGCATTTTGCTAATTAGCTTCTATTCTGTTGGCCTCCATTCTTTCATCTGTGATTCTGAGGTCAGCAGTAGAGTTCTCACTACCGCACTCCAAACAACTGGTAAATAAGACAAAGGCAAAGACAAAATAGAGCCAGTTGTTTCTACAGATCTGGAAAATATAATTTAGCATACAATTCCAACAGCCCCATATCTCAGGCTGATAATAGATGATATTGGGCATTTAAGAATCCCTGGCTCAAACTAATGGAAATGCATGAACTGTGAACCAATGGCTGAGGAGCCCCCATGGAACTGGAGCAGGCCCTCTGGATAAGTGAGACAGTTGATTAGCTTGAACTCTTTGGGAGGCAGTGGGATCAGAACCATTCCTTGGCGCATGGGCTGGCTTTTTGGAGCCTGGGGCCTATGCTGGGACACTTTGCTCAGCCTTGGTGAAGGGAGGAGGAGACTGGACCTGCCTTGGCTGAGTCTACCAGGCTGGGCTGACTCCCCAGGGGAGACCTTGCCTTGGAGGAGGTGGGAATGGGGGGTGGATTGGGAGGGGAGGGCTGGGGGTGGGAGGAGGGAGGATGGGGGAATATGTGGCTGATATGTGAAATTAAGGTAATTATAAAATAAAATATTAAAAAAAAAGAATCCCTGCTCTTTTGCAGGTACCCCATCCTCAAGAAGATGGGAGACCAATCAAATAGAACAGACCCAACAGAATTCTCTTCTTTGGGAAGCTAGAAAGAGGTTATAGTAATGAATCTACCTTCATGAAAAGGAATCTTCAGAGAGCACTAAGAATCTTTACACCTGCTCCCATTCTGACTCATTGAAGACATACTATGTACCAGATCTGTGTTACATACTAGGGCATAGAAAGAGAAAAGATATAGTCTTGCTCCCATCCCAGGAATTTAAAGCCAACTAAATAGGCAGATAAGTAATTATTCATTTATAACTTGGTTTCATAATAGTCCATAATTTTCTCTGTGATTCTCTGAGGATATGTTTATGTGGGAAAATTAGGCTTAGAATTTCAAACAACTGATGCATCAACTTTCACAATTTAGTCCCGTGTTCAACTGAGGAGAAATCTCTGAAACTGCCTTCCATGGGGCCTGATGGTCATAATATTCCCATCACAGAAGTAAAATCAGCAAAGAAACATCATCATTATTAGTGGTTCTTAATTAAGATGTATACAAACTGCTGTCCCTTCTTAAAATGTTGCTAGAGAATATGCCTAAGAAGTCTTGCTTGATTTTGTTAACATTAAAGAATAGAAAGAAATTAATTCTGAAGACATTTCAAATGAGTCAAGAAAGCTGTGTTTGTATATTTTTGTTGACCTACAGGTTTTTTTTCTCTAGGAAAAGATTTTTGTTGTTGTTGTTGTTTTTTTTAAGTAAGTATGCTCCTCTAAACTTCTCCTCTGGAACTCAGCACATACACACAAAACATCAAATACAGGCATTGATTAATGTGCACAAAAACTTGACAGACACTAAGACTGGCAGGCACCAACTTGTCTGCAGGCCACACCAACTCAGGTTCCCTGAGCTATAATAGAACTAAAGAATTCCTCCCTCAGGCAAAGACCCGCAGACAGTGAGAGGGAAACAGTGGCCTTGGAACTTACAGTTTATTGTAATAAAGAAAGTAAATTTAGTGGACCCCAAAGGAACACCTTGTACTTCTGATTTCTGTATTGTGAAATACAGTAGTTGAGTTTAGTATTTGGTAATTTTTCTACTGAAATAAGTGCAGTGAAATAATATATGCAATGCTATTCATTGCAACATCATTGTGAAAGATAAAGTTTATTAATAGGACCCTGACTAAAGAAATAATGACATTTTGTTTAATGAGATGTTGGGTGTATGTTAAGAAGAATGAAGCTCAATAGGAATGGACACGTAAAAACCTCTGAACATGATAATAAATAAAAAATAAACTATAAAATGATGTTATAGTATATCCTTATCTAAAAAACTATCATTAAACCAGTTTTCTCTTCAGTGTGGTTAAAGCTAAAAGAAGAGATGTGTCAGGGAAGATGAAGTAGATGGGCCTTTTGCTAGCCCTCCAACAAAATATAACACCAAATCCTGGGCATTATATATTAAATATAAGAAACCTGTTAGGTAGATAAAGGGACACCAGCTAAGGATACTGAAGCCTGCCTTAAAGTTGGAGTTATTGATTCCCAGGGTTTTCTTTATGTATCACACACCACAGAAGTGATGTCAGGTAAGATAATGACCTAGAAATATCAGTGGGTGCAGCAAGAAATTACCCACAAAGTCCCATTCTCTCTAGTCATAGGGCAAGGTGACGAACATACTAGCAACATAGTAACATTCCAAAAATAACCAGTCTACCCACAACAAAACTCCAATTGATCAATTAGTTTTTAAAAGTTTCGCTTGACCCATATGATCAGAGGTCAAGCAGGGGTGCTGGACGTGAGAGCTCAAACACCCCACAACCTGGATAGTGTCAGAGGAGGTTGAGTGGGGGAACAGAAAGTGTCCCTCCCTTTACAGCAGCAGGCGCAGACACATGGGAAGTCCATACCATCCATACATCCATACCATCTGGCATCCGTATATCCTCCTCTTCCCCGTGGAGTTGGTACCGTGAACCCAGTGGTGCTAGCATGAATAGGTCAGGGAACAGGAACCAAACGATTCTATCCATGTGGCATCCGTAGTGGCAATCACGAACCTCCACCCCTTGGTGCTGAATGAAGAATCTGGGTGTGTCGGTTGCTACTTGCCCCTTTCTTTACCTTCCTGGAGTGAAGTAGAGAGAACCCTATGAGATCAGAGGCTTAAATACCACCCACAGTCTCACAGTATAATATGCAAAGGTTCCAGGTTTAAAGTCACTGGTAGCAAAACCAGAAAATCTCCAGTTGAGTGATACACAATAGGAGACAAGACAGATGCTAGAATCACCTCACAGATTTAAAAGTAGTCTTCATAAAAATTCTTTAACAACAACAATAACAGTTGATATATGCTTGTGGAGTACTTAGGAGGCTAGGCAAGGGAATTCTTTGAGCCCAGGAGTTCGATGTCAATCTGGGCAGTACAGGAAAACTCCACACCTACCATCAAAGAGGGGAAGGAGAAGAATGAGGAAGAGGAAGACAAGGGGAAAATAAAGGGAAAAAAAAAACAATAAAGGAAAATCCAGCAAAGAAACAGAAGATATAAGGAGAAATGAGAAGATAATATTAGAACTGAAAAGTATAATAATAAACAAAAAATTTTCAGTGGTTGAGCTTGATAGCATACCGGAGATGACTGGAGAAATAATTGGAGACTTGGAATTAGAAACAGTGGAGATAGTTCAATCTAAATAACAGAGAGACATTAGCCTAAAAAAATAAGTAAACGGAGCCTTGGAGACCTGTGGAACTGAGACAAGAGATCTATCTAGCTTCCCTGTTGCCAGAGTCTTAGCAAAGAAGAGGGAGGACCACTGCTGAGAAATGGTTTTGCTCAGAAATGGTTTTGCTCGACTCTTGAAGTCAGACAGAACACACAATCTGAAAGTGTCTAGAAGCTGACAAAAGTCCCCAGGAAAAACCTAAAGAAATACTAGCCACAACATATCAGACTCCAACTTCTGAAAACAAGGAATGAGGAATCCTTGCAGCAGGAAATAACGTTTGTTTCATTGTAACAGAAAATAACTCAAGTGACAGAAGTTGCTGTAGTGGGTAGCCATTCCAGCTTGGATGTTCCAAGCCCCATTGAGACTCTGACAACTGTCACACCTACGAGGCGGGGCGAGGGGAGGTGCCTGGGGACCCGAGAGCTGGATGGGTGAGCGCTCTCTCTGTGCGCTCTCTCGGTGCCGGGACGCTGAATGGTGAAGGTGGACTGTGCAGAGCTCTGGAGAACACTTCTGGACTGCGTTACACCTTCCCCAGACCCTGCGACCTACCCATTACTTAATTTGTGAGTTACGCCATTAAATAAATATCCTTTAAACTATGTGGAGTGGCCAAAATAATTTCTCCAATAAGTTGCAGCAGGAAACAGAGAGAGCAGCAGTACATTTCTCAGGTGCTGAGAAAAAAGAGCTGCCATCCCAGAATCCTGTCCAGCTAGAATGCATTTCAGGAGTGAAGGGAAAATGAAGACGTTTACAAGTATAGAAACAGAAAGATGTTGTCACTGTTGGACCCACCTTGATAACACTTTGAAGGAAATAAATAAAACAACAGAAGAAGGGACACTGGCACACCAAACTCAAATGGAAGCAAAAATTAAGTGAACAAAATCATGGGTGTGAGCACAAGAGATTTCCCTTCCATCCTTGCATTTTCTGAGTAATCCTTCCCAGAGAGAGGAAGCATTGGAACACCTGATGTTATCCTGCTATACATGCATGAAATTGAAGTTCCTAAATAGTACTTTAACTAATCGGACAATGCCACCACAGTGGTGTGTACATCAGCAGTGTGATACTGAACTCAACCACTCATTTTCCTGCACAGGGTTTCACTGGAAAAAGCACTATAGAAAAATCAAAGTGGTATTAAAATACAAGTTATACAAAAGAAAACAAGAAGAAGAAATGCCAAAAAGAATATATCACAAACTAAAATAAAGTAACACGTTCAAACCCTACCAGATCAATAATAAATAACTTTCGGTTAAGGGTTTATCTCAATGGTTAAGCGTATGCTAAGTGTGTACATAATCTTGGAGTCATCCCCTGGGACTATAGAATAAGCATACAGTTGGCATAAAATAAAAATTAGAGTAATTTGTGTTTAAAAGAAATCAGCGGTATGTTTTTTTTTAAGTCATTCAACTGTATGCTGTCGTAAGAAAATAATTTCAATTATAAGACTCAGATAGCTTAAGAGTAAATATATCATCATACAAAATGTTGGGGAAAGAGCAAGAGTAGCTAAATTAATGTCAGCTAAAGTAAACTTCAGAGCAAAAAAATGCCAAAAACAGTAAGGATGTTATACTGCAAAATGGTCAGTATAACCAGAAAGCCCATGTGTGTGCATGGAACATCATTACTCAGAGCATGTAATATAAAACATGGAGAAGTGGAGAAGGAATAGCTAAATGTACACTGACTGACAGCTTCAAAAATTTTATATTAACAAATGATAGAAACAACTAGACAGATCAGTGAGAATCAATAATATCACCAACCGAGAGGCTCAAACTCCTATCTGTGGAGCAGCACCTAAGAACAGAAAATTGCACAGTGTTTTTAATGGCCATGGCACCATGTACCAACGCATCTTATATCCTGCTTCACAGAAAAAAAAAAAAAAACTTCAGCAAGTACAAAAGAAAGTAAATTATGCAGGTAATTTTTTTTACAGCTATCATGAAATCAAGTTAGAAATTACTAACAGAAAGATGGTGAGGGATATTCAAATACTTGAAAAGTGCTACAAAACCCAGGAGTCAAAGAGGAAGCCCCAAGGAAATTTTTGTTTCTATTTATTGACTGATGAAGCATAATAAAATATGTGGACCACAAGGAAATCGGTGTTGAAAGGGCAACTGTAGCACTACGTACGTGCATTAGAAAGGAAAATCCTTAGGCGTGGTAGTATACATGTATAATGACACTTATCAGCACTTAGAGGGCCAAAGTTGCAAATTCAAAGTCAGTTTGAGCTACATAGCCAGGGTCTTTTTTCCTTTGTAATCATTTCCTACTACAGTATTGGAACTTCTTGTTTTTCCCAACATATCCCCAAATGATGTTATGTTTAATAATGAAGATATCCAAATCAGAGTGCCCACCCTTTGCTTGAAAAACAAAAACAAAAACCAACCAACCAACAAACAAGCAAACAAAAAGAGTTGGTGGGGACCAAGCCAAAGCATTTGTTTCCTATTGCTGTAAACTATTTGCACACTTGTGTGAGTTGGATCAGTCCTGACCTGTGCTCATGATATTGAATTACTTATGAGATACACTGTGACTAAATCTCATAAATAACATGGGCTTTGAAATCACACAGTCACATTATATAGTCATGTGACCTAGTCCAAATGATTTAAGCTACCTAACACTCTTCCTTTATTCCTTGGACAAATAGAATTACATCTACTTTTCTAGATTTTCTGTTTGAATGAAAGCTGCCTATGTGTAATACATGCATGGAAAACTAAAATTAGTTTAAAAAAATGCCCTTTACTTGCAAAACCCAAGGGTCATCAAGAGAACAAAGGATGGAGCCTCTTTATTAACATTTATTGCAGAAAACCAGAGAATCTGCTGAAGTCATCTGGAGAGAATTAACATGGCTGTGCTCACCAATGTGAAGTGTATCTCAGCTTCCTATATCACAATTCATGTTATATAAATTCAGCCTTGTCTTCCATGATATTTATGTCCATCTTGGTCAATGTGTGTGAATGTACATACATACATACCTACATACACACTCCACAGTACACACAGACATGTGTGTGCATGCGTGCGTGTGCACGCACATGCGCACACACACACACACACACACACACACACACACACACACACACACATTTTATCCATTAGTATTAGTTTCTCCAGGAAGGATGATAAGGCAAAACTCTACTGGAAACATTAAATACTCAACATTTGAAATACCAAAGCCCACTCCATCTCTGCTGTCCTCTGCTAAAGGATATTCAATGTTGTTCAAACTGAGTATCTTTAGAGAGTTCAAATATATGGCTGGAGAATGTTTTATTTTGTTGATTGCATATTTAGAAGAAACAAACGGAAACTAGGGCAAGACAAGTCCCCATGGGGGGAGGGGGGACGACAAAAAAGTTTTACTAAAAAGGAGGAAAGTGAACATTGGAGACAAGAGCCAGGAAAGGAGAGCAAGATGCAGAAAGTGTGCCCTTAATTAAGGACTTGTCAGGGGTTTGTCTGTTTCTTTCTACCCTCTTCTATTGGACCAGGAAACAGACATATTGAAGATGCAATTTTAGAGTTCCTTTCTCCCTAAGTTATAATTAATTCTCTTGAACTACTCCCAACTCTTCAATGACTGCTTGTGCTCTGAGAAATTAAACTGCACAGTAACAGAGTAAGGTGTAGAGTTTCTCATCACAGTCAGATGGAGTCCAGCCTGGCACCCTTAGTATGGGGGACAGATGAGAGTCTGAGAGGGTGGAAGCCGATGGTAGGACTGGCAGTGCATGGTGTGAAGAGTCTGTTGCCACACTGAGACCCCAAAAGTAGACATGAAAGGTACCTTCTCCTTTGCAAATCCAGGCTGAACTGGAGGAGGCTGCCACAGAAGTGATGAGTAGCAAAACTTAGGCCATTAAACTGCCTTGAGTGAATGGCACATTTCACTGCTGTCCCCACATTTATCTTACTCTCTCTTCTTCCTTTGGGTGCTTTCTTTCGACATGAGCAAAATTCCAAAGTCAAGAAATTGTCAACTGTGTACCCACCTAACCAAAGAAAACAACAAAGCGATTGGAAGCCATTTTAGCAGGATAACCCTTATTAAATCCGTAGATACTTACTAAACAGTGAATTTATTTAGTCAACATAAATGTGTTGTTCCTGCATTTTCATCCACTGTAACTGAAGAGGGCTCACACAAAGCCTCTGATGCATATGCCTTAAACCATCTCAAACCAAACCTAGGCAAACAACACTTCCTTTTTTCTACACTGCTTTAATAGCCTCATGCATTAAGTTCTCCCCAAAATGATGTAAGTAGATAATGAAAATTTTAAGGATGTACTTTAATTTTATTTATGTGAGTGTGTGTGTATGTGTGTGTGTGTGTGTGTGTGTGTGTGTGTGTGTGTGTGTGCCTACAAAGACCGGAAGAGAGTGTCAGATTCCCTGAAACTGGGGTCAGAGGTGATAGTGAGCACCAAAGGTGGATTCCGGGAATTGAACTCCTGACCAATACAAGAATAACGGGTGCTCTTAATCACTGAGTCATCTCTCCAGCCCCCCACAATAAATTTTCAAGGTAAAACTTTTACATAAATTTCCACTTGCTGTCGTCCATAACACTTGTGAGGTCCATGTAATAACATATAATTCCATCTTTCCAGTCACAGAATATTGTGCCTTTGTCAATACGCAATTTCCCGAGTTCTTAGTTCAAACTATAGTTTGACTCAAAAGAACAATCAAGTCACAGACGTTTTCTTATTTAAATTATGTTACACATGTGTAAATGTACACTCCAAGGTGATTACCATTGCTTAGACAGCTGTAATTCTAAGAAATATTTGCATTTAGATGAAGATTCTACCTTGTCATTCAGTAGAATTCATGAACAGAAGACTCGTGGGGACATACTTTAGGGATCTCAAGGTTCATTAACCTCAATCTCAACACAATCAGCTGTGTGCACAATGGTCTTACTAAAAGAATTAACTCAGCTTCAGTTCTTCATGGAAAATGCTTTCAAGTGTTGTTGACAGATGTGAGGAATGCTAAACTAATATTCAAAGAGTACCAACTGTTCCATTTCCTCATTGTAGGCTGCAATTTGACTACCCAACTAGAAAAACCACTCATACCCTAATAAAATTCGTTGCTTAGAGTTATATAAAATAGATTTCAAGTAGAAAAAAAATCCACCTAGTCACTTTTCTGGAATTTTTTTTTTTTTTACTGGTTGACAAAGCATTGTAATATTATGAGCAGGCTTCCTTAGCATTAGGTGAAGTTACATCAGCCTCAGTAGTTAAAGACTTCACAGCTACTCTTGTTGGTCCATTCCCAAGCAATACAGAAGAGCTCCAAGGTATTCCCAAGTACAGGCTGTCAGTTTCTTAATCTTCCCCTTCTTGTCCTCTGAATGAGTAAAAGCTCAGTTTAAAAGGCTTCTGTCTCCAGAGAGAGAACCTCTCTGCCTGATCCTTTCTCATAGCACCTTCAGCCAGAGCCTTTTAAGGATGGGATGCCTACACCACAAGTGAGCAAGTTTAATCAACAAGTTGTCATGTTAAGAACCATTACCAAACAGTATGACGACCATGCCTTCCTTATAAGGTGTCATGGTTTTCCAGTATCACTTTATTACATCAGAAATTTAGGTGCATTCTTCTGACTCAGCTCTCGAAGTCATAAATCTGCCCTTTTGTTCACATACTGTTCGGTAACAACCATCTCAGAGATGCTGTTTTAAACTTCTTCAGAGGCACATGGAAATTCTTGTTCCTTAGTGTTAAATCATCATAGGGTCCTAGAAATCACACATAATTGTTCTTCAGGTTGACCCTTGACTCGAGTCTGTTGAGAGGCATAGACATATAAAGATAGAGATGTGCAAGACAGAGATGGATGGACCTTTCTTGGCTGCTGATTAGCCTTCCTCTCTTTAGAGCCCCTTTTCTCTAGTCTTCCTCATTCCTATAGATCCTGAACTTTCCTCATCCGGTGACAAGAAAGTATCTCAGTGGCCCTTGTGGCCCAGGTTCTTTGCACCCTCAAGTCTCTTAGCCTCCAGCATACTTAGCACAAACATGCCAAGCACTGAACAACTTCTCAGCAGTCTCCTGTTCTTGCAAGGATAGGTCAGGGACCTCAACTTCTCATTTTATCATTTACTGTTGGCTCACAGTAAGTGCTTCTTAACTATTGAAGGAAGGAGAGAAGGGAGGGAATGAGGGAAGTAGGAAGGGGGGAAGAAGATTCTGTAATTGATTTATGAAAAAAATCTGAGCACTTAACATTTTTTATTATTTAAAAAAATAACATACAAAGTAATCAGCTTCATTGGAGCATTTTCATTTATACTTTGTTTATATTGATCTCCTTTTCCACTCTCCTCCCAAATCACTTACCACCTCTTGCTCATCCCATAGGAACTTCCTTCTGTTTTCATTCTCACATGCATTCTATTACTCTCTTTGGCTTTCCAGGAAACCCCCTTTCTCCCTTCCTATTGACCCCTTTCCGGTTTATTGACTGTATTCACACTCTGTCCACATATATATTCATATTTATAAAAACTAAATCTAAGTTCCACATATGAGAAAAAAAACATGCCTGTCTGTATTTCTGATTTTGTGTTACTTTGGTTCATATAATTCCCATCTCCACATATTTTCCTGCAAGTGTTATGATTTCATCTCATCTTCCTTTGTGGCCGAATAAAATTCTACTGTGCACATGAAACATTGTTATTCATTTGTCTGTTGGTTGACATCTAGGATTTCTTTATTTCCTTTGTGTTCTGAGTACTGAAGTAATAGCCATGTGTGTCTCTGTATGATGTCCATACACATAAAAGAGAAAGAGAGACAGACACAGAGAGATGAGACAGAGAAACGCTTGTTACAGAAGTAGATGATGAGTTCCAAGATGATAACAATGTTGATGGTGTCAATGACAATTCTTTTTAAAGCTAACTGCTTTCACCTGGATGGCCAATAAAAGAAGTCAGGGAAAACTGTACTTCTAAAAGTGCTTACATGAACTGCTTGCTGCCAAAGCAGCCCATCCAATAGTAGCACATCACTTGTAAAAATGTATTTCCCAAGGTTTAGCTTCCAGCTGTGTGCTATTTTTCTTTTATATCCTTTTCTTGAAAATTTAAGAATCATTAGTCATATTTCTCAAAGTTTCCAATATATATATTTCATATTTATATATACAATAAATATATATTTCATATATATATATAAAATGTTGTCTTAAGTATAAGCTCAAAGCTAAACAGCGATGTTAGAAATTGTATATTTGCCACGTATATTCTATGATCTTTGACACTTCAATACTAGAAATCCTCTTCTCCAGGCCTCTTTCCTCTTCAATTTTTTTCTGTTGAATGTTTTAACATCACTCTAAACAAATAGATTAAATTCACAGTGGCCACTGTCCTTTGATAAACCGAGTTTATCGGTAGTAACAGCATGAACACATTCAAAAACAGACACGAAGGTAGATTACTTGTGTTTCCTGTTATTAGACCATTGAATAAATAACCATTTGTAAGTGTCTGTAACTGGTGCTACACAAATAATGATCATTTCAATGCCCAAATCTTTGGAAACAAAATTATTTTATGTAGAATTTTCAACTAGAAACTATGTGTACAGACAGTGGTATATTTTTTAGGACTGTAGGGACAAAATAAATACATTCTTGAAAATATTGGAAGTTATTTTTATTTAAAGGTTTTTGCACAAATATATAACCAATAATTTGAGAAGCAAGGTTGGCTCATTCATCCATGTAAAATGTTATTGTGTATCATGCTTCCACACTTAATAATTTACTTTGAAATATGCTCTTGAAGTGCCAATGGGCAGATTTTAGGTGCTACTTGAGTATTTTTTTCTGAAAAATAAACAAAGCAAATCTCTCTCTCTCTCTCTCTCTCTCTCTCTCTCTCTCTCTCTCTCTCTCTCTCTCACACACACACACACACACACACACACACAAACAAAAAACCAACTGCTGCTTGTAGAAGACACACATTTGGTTCCAGCATGTATATCAGATGACTCACAACCACTCATAAAGGAAATCCAAAGCTGCCTTTTGTCCTCTGCAATAACTTATACTCATCAGAACATACAACACACACACACACACACACACACACACACACACACACACATACACACGTACATACAACATACACATACATACATACACACACACACGAGAGAGAGAGAGAGAGAGAGAGAGAGAGAGAGAGAGAGAGAGAGAGAGAGAGAGAG